TATATATATATATATATATATATATATATATATATATATATATAATTAAAACGGAACAGTAGAGAAAATCCGATCAGAATGACAAAATAAACAACTAAGTATCCACTGGAAGGAATCCCAATATCTGCAGACGGATCCGATTCGGCCTTCCAGGACTCATCAGTGCAGCTGGGGTATAGACCCAAAAGAAACGTTTGACCAGCTTAGGAAGGGCCCAAACCAGTCCCACTACCACTAATGATTACAGAGCCAATACATATATAAATATATATATATATATATATATATATATATATAAATATATAACAACAATACTCTATATTTCATGATTGATCTTATTCATACTACCCAAAAGGATGAACTGTAGTTACATTCAGATAGAGATAACCTTTAGGATAGTAGTCGAAGCCAGGCATGTAACTCAGCTCAAGTCCTGCTGTTGAAGTCACGTCGAATATATAACATAATCCGTCCCTGCTCTGATAGACATACGACCGGCAGCCGGGAAACCAGTCACATTCGTACGCACACTCTTCCAGTTCGGAAACGCGAACTATCATTTTAGAAATATCGTGAGGTAAGGAATGACTATAATTGCACGCAACGTCTGTGGCGATATACCAATTGTACACCATGTTTCCGCTTTTACAATGATTTTCAGATGTTGAGAGAATATGTATTACGAGAATCGTTGCTAAGTAGTAAAATCGTCCGTTTTCTACTGCCACACGCATTTTCCTAAAAATGTCCTGATTTCAACAGAGCGTTGATTTAACATGTACACCTTGTCAACTATGTTGCCGCAATGTGCGATACCATATAAGCTTCCCTCTTATAAATCCAATTTTATCCAAGCCCGAGGACTGTAATTTGATAGATCATTTAATTGATTACACGCAGCATGTGCGTAGAAGGTGCGCAGTCAGCCAGCAATTTCCGTCGCAAGTTTTTTACCTTTGTTTTTTATGACAACAGAATGTTTGTTTTATGTAGAATAGTTTTACATTGTAATTTCCGGTTTGATTTCCTCTATTCCACATCATTAATAACGTTAATCAAGACCAGGAGGAGAGCACAATGTGTCGTTAATTATTGCTCTGGTCCCAGCGCCAACCCGGCCTCCTTATCATAATATTGGTTGTTATTAGTTACTGTTTGTTGAAAATAACATTTACCGACTGTGGATGTCTAACTCTGTGTAACTCTATCAAACCTTCGTTTGGCGACTCTTTCAAATAATATTATTATGTCTGTATAAGAACTGTAATAATTTATAAAATTTTACTTTGCAAAATATTATTGAATACATAATAAATTACACATACAGAACCCTAAATGCTTCATCAAGAACACTGCATTTTTAAATAGTTTTTAGATCATTTATGAAGTAAAAAAAAGTATTGCGCATTTAATTTTCACGTTGTCTCGTTATCGCGTAATTGCGAAAAATTACGGCGCGTGAAATTAAAGAGCTTTACATATTATATTATATTATATTATATTATATTATATTATATTATATTATATTATAGGAAGTTGCTATGCATAGGCCTACGTTATGTTATGAGGTGTCTTGTATTTTTTTGTTCTGCATTTTGTTGTGTAACTGTGTTGCTTTGTGTTCGTCGTGTCATATTATATTGTATTGTATTATATTATATTTATAAGTCAATCGTGAAGTCATCACTGCCACTCCCAATGTTATTTGCCTATCCCCCACAGTCCACTAATTTTCCAATTAGTGGACGCTTGGCTTGATTTTTTTAGGTTAATGTGCAAAAAAAATTCCTCTTCTTTTCGTCACCGCGAAGATATCGCGCACCGCGATAAAAATTGAATTGTAATTGGAAATTACTCTCGTAAAACAAGGTTAATTAGAACCCGAACAAGGTTACTTTAAATTCAATATTAAGTATGAACAATTAAGTAATTCCTTGAATCAATGAACCCTGATAGACTAAACATATTGCACTGCATTGCATTGTATTGTATTGTGTTATGTGTTGTTATTTTATGCGTTATATTATGTTATGTTATATATTAGGCCCTATATTATATTATATTATATTATATTATATTATATTATATTATATTATATTATATTATATTATATTATATTATATTATATTATAGGCCTATTAAGGCTATATTATATTATAGACCTATGTTATATTATATTACAGTATATACATATATATGACCGGTATATTTACCAATGTAGACAAGTCGCTACAAAAAGACGCATGTTTGAGTCGTCCACGTTTATGCAATACATTTTTATTTAAAAAGAAATATTTTTTACAGAGTTTACCGGTACCAAGAGAGTGGAACGTAGGATATCTGACTTAGATGATTTGAGTATATGTGTAGTGATGGAATAACAGCATAAGAACTGAGTTTAAATACAGTGAATATCCTGACTGACACGTCTTACACATCCAAAAGCTATCGTAGTAAAAATACGGATTGAAATATACTTATAATACACGTACACAAAATGTTTTACATACTAAATCTCAATGTATGAGGCTTAGGCGGATATTCAGAGTGGCTTTTGGTCGCTAATAAAAGACTTTACCATGGCATGTATTGAACAAAGACCATAGGATTGAAAGGCAAGAAAACTACGAAAATAGCTCCCCTGATAATAATTAAGACACTTGGATTTAAGTGGATACATTTTAGTTATTTTTTTTATGTCTTTTAGTGATAGCAAAGAAAACAGGTTCAAGAGTGACACTTGTAACATATTAATCACAGTCGATGTTAGATAGGAGGTTTTGGGATCATATTAAACTGCATTTAGACCACTGAATCAAACTATTTGGATCGGAAGGCCTACAAACCCGATCAAAAAATCGAATCAGTTTGTGGTCACGTTCACACTACAGCCCTAGTATCCGGATCGGCAGCTAACTGTTAGCGCTAACCGTTGGCTTCATCAACCAATCACACGTACGCGTTTCCAATTTCCAGTTTCTTATTGGCCAGTGATTCGATCGTCATCTTCTTGGTATCTGGATCGGGAATTGACTTGTATGAACGCACGGCAGCTAAATTAGCAGAATCCAGATCCTGCTAATCGTTAGCTGTCGTGTGTGAACATAGCTTACGAATAGGGACGCTGGCGTCCAGCGCGTCGGAAACGCGGTCCGAATTTCGATTCGGTTCCGATGTGAATACAGCTTTAATCGGAGAGCTGTTTATCTAAATTTCAGATTTAACTTCTGTGCTAACACACCATTTAAATTTAAGGTTGCCATACGTTTTAGAATTTGTGTAGTTTTGAAAATGTTTTAGTAAAACGGTTTACAGTATTTTTACTCATTCTTTTCTACTATTAATAAAATTATACAAAAATATTCTACTTCTGAAAAATTCGAAAGGCTATATACAGCAAATAGTTATAGTAATAAAAAACTATGTTTATGCCTAATCAAAAAATATATAAAACCTATCAAAAAGTAGCAAACACTGTTGAAAAACCCAGGTCAAAAGTCTTTAAAAACTGAAAAATATATTGTCGGATGAAGTGACCAGATAATGAGAATTATACATTGATCTGCTATAGTTAATGTTAGGAATTATTTAGCATTTTATAAAATGGTTATAATTATAGCCTAAAATAAAAATAATGCGGTGACAATAATAATAATTATTAGAATATGATGACCAATGTTACTTTAATGATTATCATTATCAATTCCATAGTCTGTGTAAATTATGTTCAATTGCAAATAAAAATGCTTATTAAGATGCTATTTATCTTCGCTTCGCTTAATATTGTAAAATAATTTCCCAGTGCATAGCAACATATTCTGCTTCTTCAATGCAGAGTGATTATTATGATATGAAATCACTCAATACAAATTATTCTGCACGAATAAAAGCACACCTCATAAATAATAGAACAATAAAGGGTACACACAGCCCCGCACAAATCGCGTTTCTGGCGCGTTTCCTGCTCATCGGTTACAGCGTAAATTTCACTCCACACTATACTAGTGTCGCCGCAAACACGTTTCATCGAGTCGGTAGCCGTGTTGATGAAGTACTGGCGTTTAATCTCTGAAACTGGTTCCAGTATGTACTTGAACACACTTGAAGGGTTTTCCTGTGCCTGAAATGGTCAAGACAATAGTTGATGTACATTCGATCAGACAACTTTTAGTACTAAATAATGGACTCCACATCTTAACCTTGGAGACTATAATGTTTCACTTTTAAGCCATATTCAGAAGACACATTATAATTGCCAGCGGCGTTAAAAATGATTAATACCACTCTTTTCTAATCGACATTAACATTTTAATTATTTTTCTAGTGGTACGTACAATGAAAGATTATTGAATAAGCTATGCTATAATTATATAAGGTATGTTATCCTTAAAACGGCTCTGCAGCTAAATGACGTCAATATTACCAATCCCGATTTTGATTGGCTCTGGCTGTAAAGATGCATGTAGTCGCAACCCAACTTGATAGGCTGTGAGCCCTTAGCTACTCAGTTACTGTATGCACACATAATAATAATGTCAGCTTGTACCACTTGAATGTCACTTGAATGTTGAATTTATGAGCGTTTAAAAGTAAATGTATATTATACAATATATATACAATTTATGTACATATAATATATTATGTATGTGTGTGTACATATAATAATATGTATAATATATATATACATATATGTATATATGTATATATGTATATATGTATATATATATATATATATATATATATATATATATATATATGCATTACACAGACCCATTTTAGCATATGTATAAATACATGTGAGTTATTCACTCTTATAAACTAAGGTGATTTGCGAGGCAAATTCAATGTCTCGGTTCATCTACATTGTTCATTAACATCAACACCAACTGTGTTATATTATTAGAATAAAAGTAATAATTCAATGGAATAAGGCTATAGACTGTTAACTCTTAATGAAGTTCTCTCGATAGAATAAAGGCTATAAATATATAGACCGTTAACTCTTAATGAAGGTTTGTCGATTGTAATATAAGAAAGAAAAAATGATGACTTACCAATCTTGTACGATTGTAATCTTCGAGGCTGGATATATAGCAATTGGTATCGTCGTCTTTGTATCGATGGATGAGTAGTCCCTATAAAGTATACAATGACGTTAATACTACTAAACAAAATCATAATGAAATTGGCTACATCAATATAACGAGAGATGGCAAAAAATACGACTATTTTCATTAATTATTTCTGTAGTCTTGATCTAGTCTAATTTTATTTATTATATTTTATTTTTCAACAAAATTCGTTGAGGGTAGCCTGTCAGACTTATTTATGGATCTTGACAAAATTATATAAACAAGAACATTTTTTATTTTAGTTGACCCTTTTTGTGCTGTCATAATAGGGCAATATAATGATGATGATGATGATGATGCTAATAATAATAATAATAATATTAATTATTTTTATTAATATTATTGTTAATATTATTGATAATAATAATATCAATGATACCAATAATGTTGTCATAGTAGGGCAATATAATAATGATAATATTAATAATAGTGATAATAATATTGATAATAGTAATAATAAAAATAATAATAATAATAACAATAATAATAAATTTTATTATAATTTTATTATAATGACAATATTTAGAATTATTGCTATAATGATAATAATTATACGTGTTATTACAATAATTATTAGTATAATAATAATATCAATGGTAATAATAATGTCATAATAGGGAAATATAATAATAATCATAATAAATAATAATAATAATAATAATAATATTATTATTATTATTAATGGCAATAATAATAATGACAATAATATTGATAATAGTAATAATAATAATAATAATAATAATAATAATAATAATAATAATTTTTTTTATAATTTTATTTTTAAAATATTATTGCTATAATGATAATAATAATTATACCTGTTATTACAATAATTATTAGTATTAGTATTTAATATTATTATTCATAAATCATTGTCATTACTTACATGAGTGACGTCAGTGAACACTGTCAAACCACTACACCCTTCTTGAGCCTCTACATCAATGACAGTGCCGTCATCCGTTTGTTCTACAGTTTCGGTTAAAGTTTGTCCATCAACATTGAACGTTTTGACTTCATTCTTCTATACAAAACAGAAATAGGCATACATTCATCCTCGTTTTCACGATTGAGACCTTTATTTTGAGTATTATTCCGATAGAAAATATTCCGATTGATGGGATCGATCAATGAATCAGTCCGTCAGTTAGGCAGTCCATCTCTTAGTCAGCCATCTCCCAGTCAGTCATCAGTCAATCTATGGACCTATCAATCAGTCATCAGTCGGTAAGTCATCAGTCAATCAGCCAGTCATAGTGTATCAGTCGGTCAATTGGACATTTAGTCAACCAGCCAGCCAGCCAGTCAGTGAGTCAACCAGTCACTCAGTCTGTTAGTCGGTCTGCCATCTGTTAGTCAGTCAACCATTGGTCAGCCAGTCATTCAATCCAGTCATTCAGTTTATCAACCAGTCGGCCAGTCAGCAAGTTAGTCAATCAATCAATCAATCAATCAATCAATCAATCAATTAGTTAGCCAATTATCAGCCAGTCAGTCAGCGTCATCAAGCTCAGATAATTGGTTGGTTGGTCGATCGGTTAGTCAATTAGTCACCAAAGACGCAATATTTCTTACCGTGTGTGAAGAACTTTTGTCACCGATGGTGTCTGCTGGCGCACCATACACACAACCAAGTAGGATAAAATATACGACTGCCTTCATTATGATGTACATTTTCTAGTGGGAGAAAAAAAAATAGCATTTACTCAATCGGTAATAGTGCCTACCAAAAATACCATACGCTGTGGGCCAAAGGTCAGTAACAGCGTTTTCTGTAAATTATTCTTTAAAGCAATGTAATCTATTAGGTAAAAAGAAAATTTCAATATCATGTTTACACATGAAGTAGTAACAGGCTGCGCTTCAAAGGTCTGAACGATCATTTCGGCCTTTTAAGTTCATGTAAATTACCGTACACCAGATAGATATCAGCTTTACCGAAAGGTCCACTGATTAATCTCAGATAAGATAGTATAATACAACTCCAATTCAATACTTGGAGTTTGTATTATCTTCAGCTATCTACAAAACATATTTTTATTGTTGAAAACAAAACAAATATAGATGTTTTAAAGCCGATATCTAACAATAATAAATGAAGAAATTGAAATCAACTTAGGAATCTTTACATATAGTAACAGTATAGTCGCCAATAGTGGCTAATGCACTGTATCGATGTGTTTTTTTTTTCTAATCGCCGCACTGCCTTGAAGCTAGCGTCAAAGAGTATAAAACTGCAAGAGATTCGTTGGAACGCAAAAAGTACTTCCACGAAGGGGCGTGGCCTTTAAAAGATTCGAGCAACGCGTACGATTTTCTAAATTAATTATGTAAGGCGCCCCCTATTTCGTGGCATTACATTTAACCCATAGAGGTATAATAAGAATACTAGAGCGCTAACCGCAATGTATTCGATGTTCGAAATACGCAGAACTGTGTGTGTGTACCATCCAAGATGGCTACCATAGATTTAGCCAATCAAATTTCGCTAAGCGTCATCGTTTGCAAATGCGCCCTCAATTTACTCAGAAAGTTCAGTACCTGTATGTTTGAAACTCGAGCGTTGCGGTGTTTGGGTGTAATGTATACGATTTTAATGTTCATTCCTTGGTACTTTATTTTTAAATAAGATGCTTCACTTGGCCTCGTTTTGGCTACAATAGTTTAATAATTTGTTATTACCATTACTCATTATCATTAATGAAATAATAGTCTGGCAGAGGGCTTATTAATATGTAATAATATGTATACTAAGCCTGAAGGTGGCGCTTTACTACGACGGCCATCTTGGATGGTACACATACATAACTCTGCATTGCTACGCCATCTTGTCAGCACTCTAGTTGTTTAATAGCTCTATGATTTAACCAGAGTATAAAACTGCAAGAGGTCCGACTGCCCTTATTTTGTATACATGCAATGGAACGTTAAAAAGTACTCCCACGAAGGGGCGTGTCCTTCATAAGAACGTAAAAGGCGTTCGTATGGAACGCGTGCTGTGTTTCGAATTCCAGCATACATTCTGTAGACGCGCAGCACGCGTTCGATATGAACGCGCTTTACGTTCTTTTAAAGGCCACGCCCCTTTTGGGTAGTACTTTTTGAAATGGGATTGCGTTCCAAAGAATCCCCGGCAGTCGGACCTCTTGCAGTTTTATACTCTTTGTTTTAACGTTCCATTGGCTGCATACCTTGCTGCATACAAAATCAGGGCAGTCTGACGACAGTTTTATACTCTTTGCTAGCGTCTGATGATCAGGTGATTTGAAGTCTTTGCCGTAAATTTATAAACCCTCCCTGATTAAAAAAAAAAAATAATAAAAATAAAGTGACAGTAAGCAAGTATATATTTTTGGCCTATTGGTTGAAGAAACTTGGGATTTAGACTCTGTCCGCATTATCATTTTTTTTGTGACAAATACTTGTGATATGCCCATATATGGATGTAATATGGCATCACCATGTCCATATATGGCCACATCAATTTTTATTTGACAAAATACTGTTCTTATGCCTATATTATGTAGTCAAGATGTGCCCATATTATAATATGGTAATGATGTGATGTTATCATGACCATAATATATAGGCATGTCACATGTTTTAAGGTTTATGTTTTTCTGCTGCTGCCGATGAGTTTGATAATTCATTTTCACATCTTCCACATAAAAAATAATAATGTTTACTGATATAAGCTATAGTATATTTTTTCAATAACAAACTGTAAATACACTTTCTTTTTTATTTTTAAACATTAAGAATTGTTGACGCAAATCAGATGATCTTGCTTTTTACCTGTAAATATGACCAATGATTTACGAAAGACACTATAACGTTGGCAAAAAAATAAAATAAATGAAAATAAAATAAATAAATAAATAGGTATTTGTGTACTCTACTAACCAATTGACAAAACCGTTTAATAATTATAAAAAATAAAACAAACGGGACCAATGATTCACGAAAGACAATAAAACGTTGTGACGAAATTGGAATTGTCAAAAAAATAAAATAAATAACAATACAATAAATAAATAAACACGTATTATGCGTACCACATTGACAAAAATATAATAAATAAAAAACAAAAAAGTAAAAAAAATAATCATGTATAAGCCTAACCATTTTTGTAAAATTATGATAACTCCCTAATAATTATTAGAAGAATATTTACTCTTACTTGATAGATTCGACGTTGATGCTTGATCACCGTGGATAGTGAAGATGTACAAGACCGTACCGTGTTTCCTAGGTGCCGTGGTATTTATAATTATTCCTCTTCAAGTAGGGGGAAAGAATGCGGTTACGAATCCACTTGATACATCCTAATCTAGTGTTAGTTGTTAGCTTTAAGAGTCATTGTTTAACAAAAAATGTTTGAAGTTTATTTTTCTGGTTTATTTTGGGGATTTCCCTTTAATTAATAGGTTTGCTTTCTATAGCCGTGCACTTACTACGTCGCACGGCGGTCGTACGACGAATCCAACTTCGTTCGCTGTGGTGAGCGGGAGACGACGCAACGCCATTGGCTGACTGTCGGTGGCAGTACGGATCGTCGTTAAAAACAATCCTTTGCGGTTGCGCGCGCGTAGTGGCATTGTGGTCTTTATAAAATACGGTCGTCGGGCCCAGTGAGTGACCGGCTTAAGTTAGCTCATTGTAGCTAGCAATGCAAACTAAGCCAACGTACCTCTGTAAATTAAAAAGAAAGAAACAAAAGAAGAAAAGAAAAAGAAAAAAAAAAAAAAAGAAATACAATTATGCACGTAAAGCTATGTCCACACGATCAAATTTTATGCGACAAATGTTCGGTATGTGAGATACCCATATTTTAATGTAATATGACATCATCATGCCTATATATGGGCTCATCACACAAAGTCACATACAATGAGAAAAATAATTTATTATTTATTTCACTTATTTTACTTGTGTCGGTATATTTTAAGTTTGCTCCAATAATTAATCACACCTACATCACAACAACCATCAGCGTCTAACTTGTTTTTGTCGTCATTATCATGTTCATAATGAACTGAAATTCACCATGAATTGATACATTTTTTCGGAAAATGATTAGGAATCTTAAGCAATAGAAAAATAAATAAATAAATAATTAATAAATAAATGAATGAATGAATGTATGAGTGAACGAATGAACGAATGAACGAATGAATAAATGAAAAGAAAGAAAGAAAGAATGAATGCATGAATGATTGAATAATAAATAAACGAACGAACGAAAGAAAGACAGAAACGGACGAATGAATGAATGGTCTCATAGATAAAAGAATAAATAGGTAAAACGGTTATCAGCCTTTTAACTTTTGGAAAAGTGAACGAGCATCGAAACAAGGAAGAATCAATATCTAATGACATGAGGACGATAAAGGATGTTAGGCCTTACAAGTTCAAGAGTACTAATCAATGATCATCTCTTTAATATTTGTCGTTATCACCTCACGTGGTCGTGGGGATATTAAAAATGTTTAATATTCTATGACGCGACAGGCCCCTGCACAGCAGACACCCCTATCGCGTCTCATAAGCGTGCAACTCACACCAAGGCCATCATGTATTTATTTATTCAACAATATTCTGAGAGGTTGGCTCTAAGAGCAATGCTGACTTTAAGAGGACCTCTTTCAAAACAATTTAAAATGTAGATATAATATCCTGACTACAATGAATAAAATTAGAAAATTTTGAAATATTCCATAGTTAATATCATTGAATTTGCAAGAATAAAAATAAAATTACAAAATCAAAAACATTGCTAGAGCGACGAATTGTATTGACCCATATTCGGCTTGAATTCAGACTACAAAAAATAAATAAATAAATAAATAAATAAAAATAAAAAAATAAAATAAAATAAAAAATACAAAAAATATACGTGTAGAAAACTAATACAATTATATAAATTCTTATTCAACTTTTTGCAGCTTAAGACATTGAGTGACATTGACTGTCTATTGAAATGTACTGAAACATGTTTTCCGTCAAAGCAGTTTGATCTGGAACGTGCGATTTGAACGTATCAACAAAATCTGAACATCAACAGCTTAATTTGAAGATAATGTTCCGTAACCAACGAAAGTCGGTAGGAGTATTTCCAGTGTGGTCATTCTGGTGGTGAAAGCCTGTACAAAACTACAATGAAAGACAATTCCCTACAATTTTCCCAAGAGTGTACCACTTCTGTAAACATCTTTTCAAAACAATACTTGCATTTCATGTATGTATGTATATGCGTGTATGTATGTATGTATGTATATGTATTTAAATGTATGTATATGTATGTACAGTATATGTATGTATATATATATGTGTATATTATTATTATATTATTATTATTATATTATATATATATATATCTGTATATATATTATATAGGCCTATGTATATATAAAATTTTCAGCAAATAAAACAATATTAAAAGATATTAAAAATCTTATCGCATGTTCAATTACCTGTCAAAAAGGATTTTTGTTTAAATTTTAATGTTTTTGTATTAGAACGTTTATTATTTCAAAACAAAATTTAATGACAAGAAAGATCGACGTTTTGGGTCCATCATGGAACGTTTATTATGTTTTTGTAAATACTCGACACAATTTTGAGTTCTGTTATTAAGTGTTTAAATTTATCATGGATAATTATATAAATCTCGTTTGATGGATATAATAATAGATTAACGTATTGCAAGAACGTATTTTTCATTATCAGAAAAGAATCTAATCCTTTTAAATTTATGTTAAATTTATGTTAGACATTCATTTTCTCAGCTGAGCATGTCGTTATAAACAATTGGTAATCTATTGCTTTAACATTCATAACTTTGTATGCTTATGCCTATTCGTCTGTCTGCTGCATTTTGTATACAATTTTGCATATTACTATCGCCATCACCATTCATCATCGTCATCATTATCATTATCATCATCATCACTATCATCAACATCAAAACTACTGCTACCACCACCACCACCACCAAATAAAAAAAAAATCTTATAATTATACGTAAGATAAATCGATGAACAAAACTATGCATGCTTTAATTTATATGCATTTAATAGTAAGAGAAGAAATAAACGACATAAATTGATTGGCAAATTATTTTTTGAATAATTTCATTAACCATCATTGTTCACATCGCATTATAATCTTCAGTACTTAGCTAACAAAATACGAGCACATTCGTTACGTTTGCTAAATGAATAACACATCGAATATCAATAACTGACAATGTGAGACACTGAATTGGTTAGTTGTTAAGGCTGTACTTGAGGAAAATGCTAACATACATATTTAAATATTAGGTATTGCTTAAATCATTATACCTTAAATTCATGAAATAGTTACATTTTAAATAGTTATCTTTTAAGAAATGTTCCTAACCAAACTTAAAAGTTATAAAAGAACTTAATTTGGTTTTCTAATATTGGAATATTAGAAAAAAAAATCTTAAATTAAAGCCAAATATTATTAATTAATGAATCTTCACAAATCATACCAAAAATAGCAACAATAGCACATAAAACACGAAGAGCGTAACACTCAATGACATCTAAGACGAATAAAAAATCATATATATTATATTGTAGATATATAGTACAGTGACAATATATAATATAAATATTAATGAATAATATTTGGGCATATATGTGTCAAATCAAATATCATAAAACAAAATACAAAATATATAAATTGATACAGTGTGCTTCTGTGTAGCAGAAGAATGAGCTCTTCGCGTAGCGTCCGCCCTCCCACGAGCGAGGTAATTTATTGGCAATTTGACGGAGTGGAGAAACTACAGAAAACAAAACAAACCCAAGCAGTGTCTTTGATTATAGCGGTGCCGCTTGGATGGGGGAAAATTGTTCTCATGGACGTTCTGCTCTGTCCTTTTATCTATCATCTTTGATATTATTATTGTTATAATACACTCGAAACCAAACCCTGTTTAGGTATTCCTATTAAGAGGACACCTTTTTTCGGTCCCGAAGGTGTTCCCTTAATAAGGGCTCTACTGTATCAGAACAGATAGCTAAATAATAAGTTGACAATAATTGACTTCTGGCAATTTTACTACTAGACAAATCGACTGGTTACGGTGCTGTAAAGTAAAAGTGGACACTTATGTTATTGTGATACATATAAAAACATCATATCATATCGTGTACAGAGCAATGACTATAATATAAAAATAAATGAATAATATGAAAATAGGCATTTAGACCTATGTGTTAATAATATTAAAATAGGCATTTAGGCCTATGTGTCAAATAGCATAAAGCAAAATACAAACTAGCCGCATATATATAGCGCTTCTCTGTTTATTACCCTCGTAAAATGATTTTCTTTCTTAAAGGAATCGTTACATAATGAAAACATAACTAAGCAGGCAGTAAATGAACGAGAGTACAAATTCAACAAAACTTTTATCCATAATTTAAAAAAAAAAAACACATTAAAATGCAGAACGGTGCACCTAGAAATAAACCGAAGTGTTACCATAACTAAAGATTATCATGTCTCAATCTGATAAAATTTATAGTTCCCTGCATCACATTTTCGTCTAAGGTTGTATGGGATATTAATACAAATATATATGGATTTTAAAAATTATTAGTAAACTCTAAATTGAATAAGCCTTTGAAACACCTGATTTATCCTACAAGTGGCAATGGAACCCGGCAGCCCCTGGCAACACCCCGTCGTAATTTAATCATTTATAGAAGTAATGTAAATAGTGCACACGTAACTAAAATACAATATTTCACCAGAGTATAATAATTAGTGCAGTGCTGAAGATACAGAATGCATTATTGACCAATGACTAGAAGTGCATAAATCATTAACACTTCGGTTTGACGATGTAGTTAAACAAGGTCATCAATAATGTATTAATTTATATCCTGATGTGTAACGACTCTCTTCTATAATTACATGTCTTCAGTGGTTAATTGTGTTCGATAATTACCCGGTTTCTTTTATAGGTGACACTGCTTACAGTAGCGACGCTACTATCGTGATTTACCCAGTTGCTAAACCTTTTTCTGAATACTTGCCGCACCTAAAATACAAAAATTATAATTAAAATACAATAATATTTTTAAGTAAATCTTTACAAAGCTTAAAGAGAATTGTTGCTTTAAAAAAAAAAAAGTCAGTTTAAAAAAAAGTTTTTGCTAATACTGGTTACAAAGATTATTTCCTAACACTTAAACGGTAGTATTCGTCACATAAACTTACTACAATTACATTTACAGTTACAATTTCTAAAAAGAGTGGTTAAACTCTATGAAGTATGATAAGAGAATTTAGCCCTTGTCAATTCATCTGCAATAGTTTACAAAACATTTAATGCAACATGGAATCACCTCGTTGCTGAAGGCGCACTGTGAGAGCCACACGAAGAATCCTTGCGTGGAATTCAAGACAACATAGATGTATTCCACCACTTTCCAATCACAAAAAACGACGATGACACCAAAAATCCATGAAAGTCCCACGGCTGGGGCAAGGAGCAATATACCATGAAACATATTCCTGTTAACAAAATAAAATAAAAATGTGCTCACTAAATATTTATGGGAAGTAATTATTATTATGCACCTTATTGACAGTCATCTATCACCTGACAC